TGCATATAAATGTTCTTCGAACAAAATTATTTATGTGAGTCAAGTGAAAATAATGAATAATAAAAATATAACAAATAATATGAGACACGACCCATTGTCTATATTAGAACAGCGTTGGTACCGTGTACAATAGTGTTTTGCTGCAGTGACATCTCGCTGCTGGCGACTCGCTGCTGCTGGCGATTCGATCTGCGCATGTGTACAAAATGGTATTTATTTCCGAACACAGTATGCCAGTCTACAACAAGCTCCGCCTAAATGTAATAATTAGCACGTTGAAATAGGCTAGTAAATAAGTTTAACTGGGTTCGTAAATAATATTGGCCTCAAAATATTGTGGCTGAGACATGAGCCGATTAAACGTAGAAATAGGAAACCTAGAAATATAGTAAAAACGCTGAATAGCGACATGCGGACGTTGGTACGAGTAGGTTAGTCTACAAACGTCGCCTAAAATAATTGATTTTACCTGGCAGAACGAAAGAAGGAACTCCGCTTTTCAGTTGTCTTAGGCGCAGGTTTTTTGACAAACAATGACCTTTCAGAGGTCAAATTGCTGTCAAGAATATGAATTGGCTGCTTCGCAGCAACAACAGTATTTGAGAAATCAACCTTCAAAGTTTACGATTTTGATAATTTCTCAGACAGAGACCGTCATCAATCCGTTAAAAATGTTGTTCAACGTTGAAAATAACAACATAGCATGATGTATAGATATACATAAAGCTTACTGGTACCCGGCTGATTTCAGACATTTGGCAACCATTGACATTATGTTGGCATTAAAAGACTGCATATTGTGATGAGGGACCTGTGTACAAACAATTACCAAACACAAAAAATATGGAAAACTGAATGCTATTTACAAAATATTTTATTTAATGCTTATGGGTGAAACTTTCTTTGATAAACTGGCTTCTATTTAGTGCAATAAAATAAATTTCGAAATTTTTTTTTGAAAATTCCAAAATGTTTTGGCCTTTTTGGTCTGTGAAACTCAATTTTTGAGTGACTGCTTTGGTTGTCTTCGCCACATATGAAGACACACATTAAACTTGTTCACACTATTAAATTTCATGTGACAAATAACTGTGATGCCCATTTGTACGTAATATGACATCATCATGTCCATATATGGGCACATAACACAAATTTGTCACAAGAACTTTAATAAAGTGGACAAAGTTTTAGGTAACGCAACTTCTCCCTGTCACAAAGCAGAAAAATAAAAAACATATATATGAGGTCTCACCACGAAATGAGACGCATCGTTGGTGAAATCATATTGAGATATTCACCAAAATAGGTCAAAGGCAACATTTTTACAAAATTTTGATTTTAATGTTTTTAAATAACTTGATAATTGTGTACTTTTTAAGTGAATTTTCTTACTAAAACAGTGTTCTCTTCGCATATTCTGTAATTCTAGTCCTATTATTTGTACAGGTTAGTTTATCTTTGAGGCCGATTTTTTCAAAACCTGGTTCTCATACACCTAAACTTTAAATGCTAACATCTCTGGATCTATTTATCCTAGGGAAGCCATTCAAAGACCAAATTAAAGCTTATAATGTGATCTACCAAAATGTAATATTAACTAATTTTTTGATTTTCTAACGATGAGACTCATTTTGTAGTGAGACCTCACATATTATGCAAAATAAAAAAGGTAAATAATCACTAATGTACATGAGTCAAGTAACCTAATGAAATTGAAGGAAAGGGAAGAAGGAGACGCTTGGGACAGGGGGGGGGGGGCGTCTATATTTGAAATTGATATATCTACTAGTTGTTATGAAGTCAAGGTTGATCGTTTTTACGAAACTTGCTAATATCAACTTACGAATGAAACCTGCACATAATTGTTCATTGTCAACGCTTGTGTTAAACAGACACTGAGAAAAGTAAACGTCAAGCGTGAAGAGGGAGTACCATTTGGGATGACTCATCGCAGTCTGTGTTACAGGTGTGCGCAGAAAAGCATCACAGTGCCATTCAGAAACGTGCAAGTGTAACATATATTACAAACACATTAATAATATAAGATCTCAGAGTCAGTATTCATTACATGAATATGAAAAACTGGCAAATATCACCAGGTTTCAATTAAAACTCGAACAAAGTTCAAGAAAGTTGAAGCAGACATAAAAAAGTTCAAGAAATTAGTTCACCTAAAAATAATATCAAAAATATCTTATGGTCGCATGCTGTTACATTAGCATGTACTCTATAAGATAAAAATCTGAATACAAGCCAATAATTATTAGAATATTTTTAACAAAAAATCAAAGTTAGCAGTTTTTGGAACATTGTATCTCAAGTTGGAGGGTCATCCAATTGTGGAAACCTATACCATACATTTCAGCTCAATGGAAAAGTTTGAAAGAATTTGTAAATCCTCATGTTTCTATGTATTTCATCAGTTTCAACAATTTATGAAAAAACATCTGTCTAAAAAACCAAATTTATTCAGCTACTTTAACATAAAACGAAACGTTACTTCGAATAATGAGAGGGATTCAACGCTTTGACCCTTATAGGGTCATCTTTAGGAATGAGAAATCATTGACAGCTACTTTTAATTTTCCTTCTTTTTATCTTAAATTTAGTTGAACATTAATATTTAAATTAGTAATCTTATAAAAATCTGTATTTATGAGGTTATAATCTGTTCTTCCAAGGTTACAATCTGCTCAATATCATAGATTTTGGCACAATCTTTTGTGTTAATGACTCTAATTTCACTTTTGAAAACAGGGCAAATGCAATCGCAACATTGGTCATTGAAAATTTCAAAAGAGTTGGTAAACTATGTATGCATTTAATTCAGGCAAAAAGAAGAGTATAAAAAAACCCACCACCAAACATGCCAATTAGAATTATAAATATGTAAATAAGGAAAACTAAACACATTATGCAGTTACTGAGTGATTCTAAAAATTCACTAATTCCATCACCAGACATTCTTAGTACTTACTTGTAGCTTAGCTGAGATACCCTGCATAATAAAGTGAATATAATCAAACTAATTTTAGTAACAAAAGCCAAGTTCAAATATTATGTTAAGATTGTGTTAAGAAAGAAGTAAAATCGTGAAGTAACAAATTGTGAAAATTTAGAATTAAGCTCAAAGCGAGTTAAAGTGAGATTTTTTTATACCTTTTTTTTGCAACCCTTTCAATAAAATAATTATGTGGCAGTAAATTCTGTTAAAACACAAATTATTTGCTTTTTGAAAATCAGAAATAGATGTTCAGACTGTATATTTTACGGACATTTAAAAAACTGATTAACGCCACTAAGTGATTCAATTTTTCAATCTTAATACATTTTACTTTTTTTATCTTCAGAAAAATATTCCTTGAGACAAACAAATACATTTCAGTTCAGTTTATCATACACAATGGATTAATATGATTCTGAGGCATTTTTTTAGGGGAGGTGGGTTGTGAGAGTAGTTTTGTAAAATAGTGGTTTAATTCAACAACTGATTGCCCAGACAGATATTATCATTGAATTGGACACTTAATAGAGATCTTAATATCTTGAGAACCTGCTCCATTTCATTGTTACAACATTTCAATCAACAACACCTGTACAGACCAGTGCCTGATCTTAATATCTATAATGTAAGTACTAACTACACCATCAGCTTGCAGACAATACTTATTCCATAAGGATTCGCCCACATCCCAAAGGATATTGATGAGCATTACGCACACGGGTGGATTTGTTAGAAAAGTAGCAAAGTCTGTCATGAAATTAGACAAACCGTGGGTGTAGAAAGACAATGGAACATTATAACATCTGAGATTGTTTAAGAAAGAGACAAAACGACTAATGTAGTTTGGACCCTGGTTACTTCGTTGTTTGTTAAGACATTATACGTAAAGCAAGATATTTTCATGTGACCACACTATCACAGTCAAAGACTGCTCAGCATATGTTGGGGAACAGAGTGTAACAGCAGCATACAGTATATGCAATTATACACTTTTAAATATTCATTATCTTACAATAATAGCATCATTCAGATGCGGATTTGTGGGGGGGGGGGGGGGGCTCGCG